TGTAAGTAAACAATTCAATTAAACACGTAAACTAATAACCACATAATCAAATAAATAAATAAAATGCAACTAAAATATTTAAAATAATACTGAAACTAGCCTTTTAAAATTAGGGGTATTACAGGAAGTGTGTAGTAGAGTCATATATTTGACTTGATTTAATACTAACAAATATGTTGAAGTGAATATGTATCATTTATAAGTTGTTATATTTGACATTTATTTCAGATAATAAGTGATAGAAGGAAGAAATAGGTGTCATGGAATCGAGGAAGAAGTCTCTTATATTCCTGTTTAGGCTGATAATCAGTTCAAAGTGGTATGGGAAGAGAACAACAACAGTTAACTGACATATAGAAAATGGAGAAAGCTATAACATGATTGGTAGAACAAAATGAAAAGTGTGTTGCAAGTAAAATCATGGTACAAGCAAGTCAGGAGAGGAAGCAGAAAGGAAATAAAGGCTCGGATCATGAAAGGTTTATAAAGCTAACACCCCCAGAATTTTCAGGTACTATGAAACAAGAAAAATCAGAGGGGTGGGTAAGAAAGATGGAATCAATATTTGTAGTAATGGGTGCAACTGAAGATCAGAAAGTAAACTTAGCTACATTTATGTTAAAAAATGAAGCTAGTTATTGCTAGGAAACAACAAAACATTTGTTGCTTACTCCAGGAGAAAGAGATGTGATATTCTGGAATCCATTTGTTAAATCGTTTTATGAAAAGTATTTCCCTTCAGTTTACATAAAGCAGAAGGAGTTGTAGTTTATTCTCCTAACACAAGATATAATGTTTGTAGCTAATTATGAAGCTAAGTTTACAGCTTTATTGAGGTTTGCACCTAAGTTTGTACACGATGAATAAGATAAATGTACAAGATTCTAAGATGGTTTAAAAGCGGTTATAAAATCTAGAGTTTTAGTTTTTGAGGAAACAAATTACAATAGACTGGTGGACAAAGCCATGATTGCTGAAAAATATGTGAAAGAATTGCAAGAAAGAAGGGAATGATACAAAAGAAATAAATATGAGCCAACATAATCAAGAGGTGGTTAAGGATTTTCAAGTCAGGGGGGTCAAAATTCATGGTATGGAAGGGGAAGGGGTAGTGAATTCCAAAGGCAGACATCAGGCATTGGAAGAGGTTAGGCATTACAGTGAACACCTTCATTGTCAACTCCATTTGGTCCTTTCTTGTAAGCTTATCATCATCAATCCCAAAATTACTATTAATGCATCCACCATTCCACCATGCCTCTCAAGAAGTGACAAAATACATGGCTTGCCCCCTCTTCTAGACCATATAATTTAAAGCACACAACCTTATTTCTTACAGGTCTAGTCTATCTTCAGCAGTTCATCAGAGTAACTTGGTATGGATGTCACTAACAATACCTCGAATGAAATTCAACCTGTGGCTAACAGTGCAATCCAGACTTCTAACTCTAAATTGCAAATCAATTGCACACCATTAAAACATTTGTGCTCTATGCCATAACAGTATGAGCATCTATTTTTCAATTGTTATTTTGTTTCCCTAATTTGGAGATTCATCAAAGACAAGTGCAACCTATTTACCCAAAATGCAAATTGGGAAAACCTAATTCACTAGCTTGGAGAGGAATTCGGCATCCAACCTTCTACGCAAAGTGTGCTGCTCGTCAATGGTATACCATACATGGGAAGAGAGGAATGAAAGGATCTTGTAATAACCTAAGTTTTATTCAACCCGATGCGTTAGTGATGACCCGAAAGTTGACCCGATAACGGATCTGAAATGCAGAAGCGAAACCAAAAACAAGGTTTGTAGAGATATAAATCATCCCTAAGACACCCGAGTGACTTTCCATGAAGTCATGAAACTCAAAGAGAACGAGGACGGAGGCAAAGGTCAAAATGGGCAAAATTCATTAACCAAGGGGCAAAATGGTCAATTTACAAATAAAAAGGGAAATTTGTCTCCAAGCAATTCAAATGAGGTCTAAACAACCTAAACTAATCATTTCACAACATTCCAAGAGGTTCTAAGGACTTTGGCAAAGAATCCCACAAGACTCCCATTCCCGATTCAAGCAAAATCTGACACTGTCTCACTAAAATATGAATAACTCCCACTGTGATTTGAATATGAGAATAGCATTGGTACCATTGGAAATCTAACCCAAAATCTTTGAATTTAGGCTCAAGAATCACCCCATTTGGATTAGAAATGAAGGAGTTATGACCATTTGAAGTCAGGGAAACAAAGCTGATACAAAACTAGAAGGCAGCTAAAAGAAAGCTATTTAGGTCAACCGAAATGAGCCATCGGTCGACTAAAATAAACCCAGAATGGCCCAAAATTCTGAAAATGAAGGAAAATCATTTAGGTCGACCGAAATGAAGAATCGGTCGACCGAAATGGACCTAAACAGTGCGAAAGCTACTGGAAAATGACTTTTTACTGTTCAAATGCATCCCAAAAGCCATCGGTCGACCGAATTGACATTTCGGTTGGCCGAAATGACTCGAAATGGTGCTGAAAGACTTGATATGCACCAAAATGATAAGAAGTCTTATTTGGATTCCCCATAGCATGATCAAATTTAAAATCGTGTACTTAAGAAGTCCTATTGGGAACATGCACGCAAACATAAAATAACATTTTAGACGCGCTACAATGGCCTACGGCTTCATTACATTCCATTTACTCCAAATTACATCCCAAACCTCTAAAGTTGGCAAAAAAATTACATTTCAAAGGCAAACTTGAAGTTTAAAGGTATACACTTGAACTTTAAAGTTTGTGGCCCTTGGCCTCATGTCATACATATCAAAGGGGTTCCAAATAGTGCATCTAAGTACACTTTACATATCATTAGGTAAAAAGGGCATATTGAACTTAACTAAGTATTACAACTTTATAAACAAAACTTAAACATGCTAACACTTGCATGTGAACAAGAATACATTAAAAGTACTTTAAATCTACAAATCATCCAAGGCAAGTGCAAATCCCCGAATCTTGAATCCTGTACCTGAAAAATACCCCTGGTAACTTTAGGGTGAGTAATATAAAGCTACTTGTAGGAGATGAGCATGCAAAGACCCAATGTTTTACAAGTTTTCATAATTTTATCATTGTAGTTCATTCCACCTAACGTCTATATCAAGAGTGAGACCCAAGGAACATCCTAAGTTACTTTAAAACGTTCCTAGCATAAACCACATTTACTATGTAATTAAACAGCAAAGGAGCTTATGGTACAACGCAACAATATATAGATTATCAAAGTTATCAATTTGAAATCTAAAATGCGGAAAACAACTAAAGTGGGTCATGCCACCTAACGTCTATGTTCCAAATGAATCTATAAGATCATTCCTAAGTGACATTTGAACATTACAACATAAATCACAGTATCGATGCAATTTAACTAACATTGGAACTTCCAATACAACGCATAAAACATGATTTCTTAAGTTAACATCTTAAAACTTAAAATGGGAAATCAAATAAGGAACAACAAGTTATAACATCATCTAGTTATCAACCTGAAATAAAATTCGAAATCAAATAGGGTGGATACTTAGACATCACGCCAGATCAGACCGACAACGTGGTTACTTTAGGGTTACTACCCCATGGGTAACCTCCCTATGTGCGCACCAGACTGTAGGAGGACAATCCTCCGTACTAGAACCATGTCCTAGCCATAGTCAAACAACGACATTCCCAAGTTTTCAAAATCAACAAGTTGTGCAACAATGTATATATCAACATGTATATACAAGATATTCAACTATCTATCAACCACAACCAAATTTGGAAACATATACGATACATGCACTAAGTCTACAACTACTATGGCATGACAAATGTCGAATATTCAGTGTGCGATTCGTTACACGCTATAATAATATTATTCAATATTGAAAACATAAACTCATGAATCTAAATATAACAACAATGTTATCCAATGCTCAAAACGTAACCAAGTGAAAGTACAACAAGTCCAAGTCCATGATTTAAACATAGAGATACTTTTAAAACACACTCAAATCCATGGAGCAATTAGATAGAATTTAATTAAATAAAACTAATTAAATTATCTAGATTCCAAATCAATGCCAAATAACCTCAATTTAATATATGTTAATGGACAAAGCATAGTCATTACATATATCTAGTTAAAACTTAATTAAGCCCAATGGAACCATTAAATAGATTTTAATTAATTCTTTTAATTAAAATCTCTAGATTTTTAAATTCATCTAAATGCTCTCAAATTAACATAGGTTAATATCATATTACAAGTTGACACTACAACAAAAGTGATATTTTGTGACAAAAATTTAGGGACAAAATTTATTTCATCCCTAAAAGTAATTTTTTAAAGACAAAATATTGATTTGTCATTATTTGTATATGTTTTCAGGGACGAATTGAATTATTTGTGACCAATTGCGTAGCGGGAAAAGTTCCCTCGTGTTTTCTCTTTTTGGCGTGCAGATTTGGATGATAATTAATTTATTTTTCATTTATTTTTTTAGCGCCCTTCAGATTTTACATAGAAGCTTATCTCTATCCCAAAACTTTGAGTACATACGGTGCCGTTTTAATCATAAAATACCCTAAAATAAAAAAACAATTTCATTATTGGTATATCATCATCTCCTTTACTATATCATCTCCCATCACATTATCCACCGCCCCCTCTTCTCTCCCGGATGTCGATCAAATTAACCTGCTACTTCCCCACTATTATGCCCGCCATTTTCTCTCACTACTTTGCCCTCCATTTTCTGTCACTGGTTGCACATTATTTTCTCAAACCTAGCGTTGCCATCTCCTTCAACAGCCGGCTACCTTTGACATCTCCATCAACAATTGGCTGCCCCTGCCATCGGAAGACTTCGTGGCTTGCTCCTTCAAAAATTGACTTCCCCTTAGAGAGATATAGAAAAAGAAGAGAAGCCCTAAAATCTCTGTAAGTTCAAATCTCAAACTGACATCTCTTAATCAATTGACAAATTTTTCCTTTTTCTTCTTGGTATTTTAAAATCTAATATTGCATTTTACTATTTAGGGCTTTGAAGTGATTAATTATGATTTAATTTACAGCAAACCCTATCTTTTTGTATGTGTTCTTGTTAATTTTCATAGTTATTGTTAATTGATTAAACATGTTCCAACAATTCATTGTGTTAAAAGAGGATCATGAGAGCAAAACGAAAATTAAACAATCAACAAGAACATGTTGAATACAAGTTCTTTTATTTATTTATTTATTTTTTCATCCATATATTTATTAACAAATGTTACATGAATATATATAGGTTTTTTTTTTGTTTTTTTTATTTTTTATTTTTCTGAATTTTTAACTCAGCTTTCAGAAATTTGTTAATAGTATAGTTGGATCCATTTTCTGGTTTCTTTTCTGGTGTGGATTGCAGTCCTGATGATACACCATGGGATGGAGGTGAGATGATTCTTGCACTCAAACTTTCGTTTGAAATAACGTTGTTTCACGTGTCGGATTGTTTAACTGTGATACATGATTTTGCTCAAAAGGTAGCTCAGTTTGTATGAAAATGGAAGTTGCTTATATATATAAACAGATGAGAACTAGTGTGTGATCTAGAATGTGCACACACAAACTATGCATCAATACAATTTATTCTTTAATTAGTGCATCACATAAAATTTATTCTTGATTTTATGCAAATATGGATCCATACGACCCATGAGTTTGTGTCTGGCTTATACGCTTTGGATTATGTGGAAAATTAGTGTAACAGGAGAATTAAAAGTTTCCTGCTACCACCTTTGACCAAAGGAGATGATGATAAGAAGTGAAAAATTAGGCTTTTTGTTTCTGGATTTTGATTTTTTCTCTTTCTTTAATTCCCCTTCATTATTTTTTTTGCTTTTTTTTTTTTCCCTTCCTTTTTTAATTATATATTTATATTACTTATTATTTTATTTTATTTTATTGGGGGTTTACTTATTATTTTATTTTATTTTATTGGGGGTTTTGGTGTGGTGAGGCAGGAAACACATACTATATCAAGATATTCCACTTCTAATCAGTAATAAACACTGCTGCACCTTAATTAGGTTGCTTAAAGCCTTAAACTTTAAACCTTTTACCTTATGGTATTTGGGATGCTTCTAGATACCACCCAAGCTATGGTCTTTTCCTTGATAAGGTTTGACTTGTACTACTTAGCGTCCATTTCATAACATACTTCAAAATTTTCTTTTTCTTTTTTCAGTAAGGTAAATGAATTTTAAAGATATGTTATGCATAACATACTTAAAGATTAAAGATTAACATATATTATTTGAGTAAATCAGGATTAGATATGAATTAGAATGAACTTAAAATTGTACTTTGGTTTAAACTTATATGTCAGTTGTTATTTAACCAATATGGCACAAACACTACAAGGCTTGATGTGTCCAAATATTGAAATAAGGTTCTCAATTTCAAAAACATGGCCAGCAATTGGCAGATGTAGTTGGACTTGCCATTGACACTCTGGTTCTCATTCTAATGTAGGGAATTAATAGTTGGCAGTTGATATAAATATTAACATTTAGAAGGGTTAGCTTCTGAATTCTATTAGGAAGGTTTATTTTTTTTTCAATCTACAGTATATATCATTTAGGTCATGTCTATCAGTTTTAACACTCTTGGTTGATTGTACATGTCAATTGGTTATTCATGTTTTTCTTGTTCCTATGTGCTTGAATTAATTTAGTAGGATTCAATCACTATGGTACTTGGGGTGTTTTATAATATGGCATTTTGGTTTGCATGTCAGTTCAAACTACTTTAATGATCGCTCTATATTGAACTGTTGTTTTTAGTTCAGGAATTGTTGCTCTTTACATTGATTTATTATTAATCTTTTGGAAGTTTTATGCATATTGTCAAGAATTGTGGTCCTGACTTCACTTAGGACACCATTTCAACTCTTTTTATCATTAACTGATGAGGTGGGGGTATCGTTGTATGACATGTACAGTAGGGGCTTATATTTCATTTGCCATTGCACATTTCTGAAGTTATTTATGTACTCCATCCCATATGACCTTATTATATGAGTAAAAGTAACCTTACTTGTATTTTCATTCTTTTATCTTCTTCCTGTTACTTATCCATTGAAAATGTATTACTTGTTAATACAGGTAGAGTCCAAGAGACACGCCGTGGAGTGCAACGCAAATAATATTGGTAATACTTGTGTTGAATTTTAAACATGTTATTTCTTTTCTCTTAGTAAGAGAAAATTCTAGATATTCTTAATGCAATTAAGCATTTGGCAATTGCATGCATGTGTTATATGCTCTAAGTCTTTATATTTGTTATGACACATTGATTAGTGAATACAGTATGTGAGTTATGCAACCAATAAGATGCTTGAATGCTTATTTGTATTGAAACTTAGTCAAGGAATGGAGTGCTGCTTGATCAGATGGTTTGGTTATGACTACAACTGCATTTTCCTATGGTTTTTTTTTTTTTTTTTCCACATCACATCCTCTAAATTATATCATTGTCAAATGTGATAGTGAGATTGACATGTCTAATGTAGAATATGCATGAGACTACAGGACAGAGCAATTGTGGAGTTGACTAACTTTCTTCAACTGCTACAAGTTTTTTAGAGCTGAATTAAAATACTCTCAGTAAGCAATATTATAGTACTTGGGAAATCTTCTCAAGGAAAATAAAAAAGAGAGAATAAAGAACTCTAAATGATACTAAGAAAATAGAGGCGGTGAGCTCTGATCTCAAGATCCTCTTCTCTTTCTTTAACCATTTTTAATTCATAATTTATTAAACGGGGCTAAATAAGTGAATAACGCATTTATTACTTATTTTATATTAAGAACGAGGTATTTTACTGTACTTATTTTTTTATTCTTTATTCATGTGTGTTATGGCATTCGTAAATGTAGATGGATAAAAGTTGGATGCAAATTCCGTCTAGGATTGATCCGAGATACGCGAAAGGGATTAGAGATTTCCTCGAGGTAGCTAAATCCCATGTAGACGGTGAGAATCAGACTAGGTGTCCTTGTTCCAAATGTCGTAACTCTGTATATAGGCCACTCCCAGAGGTTAAAGGACACTTGAATCAGAATGCGATACATAGGGAGTATACTCATTGGGAATGGCATGGAGAGGAATATGATATAGGAAGTAATGAGAATTTAGAGGAAGATGTTGATGAAAAGGAAGGTAATGATGAGGTACCGCAGTTGCTAGAAGACGTGTGCATGGGACAATTATGCAGTCAGAAATGCCAGATGTTCAACGTGGGATGGGCAATGACTTGCCAGATCCTAACATAGGAGATGGTGGGTTCCCAGATTTATTACGACATGCAGAACATGAGTTATATTCAGGAGAGAAATGTTCAAAACTAACATTCCTTATGAAGTTATTACACGCAAAGGTATATAATAGATGGAGTAATACATCATTCACCATGTTGCTAGGGATTATTAAAGATTCATTGACTAAAATTGACATTCCAAAGTCACATTATGAGGCTAAAAACATACTACGTGAACTAGGACTTGGATATAAAGTGATACATGCTTGTATAAATGATTGTGTCCTATTCTGGAAAGAGCACGAGAGTATTGAGGCGTGCCCTCGGTGTGGTGAATTTAGATACAAAAATCATGAAGTTGAAGGTAAAAAAATTCCCCAAAAGATCCTTCTGCACTTTCCCCTGAAATCCAGGCTTCAAAGGTTGTTTATGTCGAGGAAAACGTCGTCAGATATGAGGTGGCACAAAGAGGAGTGTCTTAAGGAGACTAATGTGTTGAGACATTCAGCTGATTCTTTAACATGGGAGGAATTTGACAAAAGGTATCCTTGGTTTGCAGAGGATCCTCGTAATGTTCGACTAGGTCTAGCAAGTGACGGATTTAATCCATTTAGTAACATGAGTAATTCATATAGCATGTGGCCAGTAATGGTTGTTCCGTACAACTTGCCACCTTAGAAATGCATGAAAGAACCATATTTGTTTATGTCATTGCCTATTCCTGGACCGAAATCACCTGGTAAGGAAATAGATGTGTACTTGAGACCATTGATTAATGAGCTAAAAGAGTTGTGGGCGGATGGTGTAATCACTTATGATGCTACTACCAAGCGTACTTTCAGATTACACGCGTCGGTATTATGGACTATGAATGACTTTCCTGCCTATGGAGATTTGTCTGGTTGGGTCACAAAGGGGTACATGGCATGTCCTATTTGCAACGTGGATAAATGTTCAATGCGTTTGGAGAATGGAAAAAAGATTTGTTACATGTGCCATCGTCGTTGGCTACCACCGGAACATAGATGGAGAAATTGGTACAAACAGTTTGATGGTAACAAGGAGATTAGGTAACCACCTAAAGAATTGACTGGTGATGAGGTGTTTCAACAATTACTCCAAATTAGGGATGTTGACTTCGGAAAGGGACCTACCAACAAGAAGAGGAAGCGTACCAAAGCTGAGTTAAATTGGGCTAAGAAGAGCATATTCTTTGAATTGCCTTATTGGTAGGGCCTTAAGCTAAGACATAATCTTGATGTTATGCACATAGAGAAGAATTTATGTGATAACGTATTGGGGACATTAATGAACATTGAAGGTAAAACAAAAGACAATGTGAAGACTCGATTGGATTTGCAATCAATGGGCATAAGAAAGGAATTACATCTTATTTCTAGAAGTAACAAGTTTTTTATGCCACCTGCATGCTACACATTGTCTAAAGAAAAGAAAATAAGCATTTGTGAATGGTTGAAGGCTGTGAAGTTGCCAGATGGATATGGTTCCAACATATCTCGCTGTGTGAATACTAAAAATTGTACTATATCTGGTTTGAAAAGTCATGATTGTCATATACTTCTGCAACGTCTTCTTCCAGTTGTTATTCGTGGAAACATATCAGATAAGGTGTCCAATGCATTGGTAGAGCTTGGATTATTTTTTAAAGAGTTGTGTTGTAAGACATTGAAGCTAGAAGGAAGCACTTGAAAGGGACATTACATCCTTACTTTGCAAGCTAAAGATGATCTTTCCACCATTCATTTGCCTCGTGAGGCTAAAGATGATTTTTTGATGTGATGGTTCATCTAGCCGTTCATTTGCCTCGTGAGGCTATCCTTGGCGGGCCAACGCAATATCGTTGGATGTATCCTATTGAAAGGTGTGTTTTATTTATTATTTCTAATGTTTAAATATATTTCTAATTGTGTTAAATGTATTTTATAATTATGTCAATTTGAAAATAATACAGATTTTTACATACTTTGAAATCATATGTTCGCAACAAAGCACGGCCTGAAGGTTCAATTGCTGAAGCTTATATTGATAATGAGTGTGTCACGTTTTGTTCGATGTATCTTCAAGGCATGGAGACATGTTTCAATCAAGAGGAGAGAAACTTTGACGGGGGCAAATCCATAAGTCAAATGGTTTCTCTATATTCATGTAGAATGTTCACCCATTAGGGGCTAGACATTATGAAATGATAGGATCTGCAGATCTTAAAAAGGCTCATTTTTATGTGCTTAACAATTGTACAGAAGTGGAGCCATTCCTACGGTAAGTAAAATTGCGATATTATTATATTATAATGTCTAATGTATTCAACTAAACTATTGACAATTTCAAAAATAATTATGTAGTGAACACAAGGAAGATCAGAGTCAAGATCCTAACCATGTAATGGAATTTACTGAATGGTTTAAAGAATGTGTAAGTTGCTAAATTGAACACTCCTGATTTATCTCTAACTATTCTCATTTATGTGATATAAGCTACTTTCATTTGCGTATAGGTTAAAGGATTGCGTCGTAGTATGTACTGATGATCTTTTTTCCTTAGCTTGTGGCCCTGACTCAAGAGTAAATCGATATATAGGCTGCATTGTGAATGGAATTAGGTTCCATACGAAGGATAGAGAGAAAAATAGAAAAACACAAAATAATGGTGTGATAGTTAAAGGAGAAGACATTGATTTTTATGGTTGTTTAACAGACATCATTGAATTGTCTTATGATAAGAAAAGACAATTATTTTTATTCAATTGTGATTGGTTTGATGTTAGGGCTGGAATTCATAAAGATCAATATTTCACTAGTGTCAATCTCTCCCGTAAAGCTTATAATGATGACCCATTTGTGCTAGCTGACCAAGCAAATCAAGTTTTGAACCTCAAGGACAATAAATTAAAGGGTCAATGGGAAGTTGTGCAACAGATTAATCCTAGAAACACCTACGATGTTCTAGAGAAGGATAAAGATGGGTTAAATGAAAGAGAAAGTAGTGAGGAGGTTGCATATCAAGACTTTGAGTCTTTAGAGGTTAATGGGGTTGTTTGAGACACATAAATTGACTCGTTGATCTTAACTAACAATGACATGGCATTAGATGAAATTGATACAGATATGGTTCAAAAAAGCCTGAATAATGCAAATGTTCATGGTGGTGGTCCAAATGAAGACGACTCATGTCTTGATGATGATAGTTCAGATGAAGAAGATGCATTCAGCAATGACTACTCAGATGAAGAAGATATTCTGCTTATTGACGATGATACCGATATAGAATAGTATTTAGTGTAGATATGGAAATTTAAATTCGTGAATTTAGTATAAATTTTTCTGCTAAGATGTACTCATTTCAGTTATATTTTTTTCGTAATGCTGAATTCCATAATAAATTGCATCTATTCATTTTAAGTCTTGATTTTTTGTTTTTTTTTCCCTATATTGCATGATTGATGGTAGTCTTTAAGTAATATATCTCCTTCGAAACAATATGCTTTTGTTTTCTATGTTATAGTACTTTGCTTCTAGCATACATGGCTTCTAATTGTCATAGTAGGGTGATGCCCAGCACTAGTCAGAATGATGATCAGGTTCAGTCCACACCAGTTAAGACTCAGGGTAAGTTAATAATATGACTTATTATTACGTCTTTATTGTCTTATTGTTTATGGTATTACTAATATTGAAGGGAACTTTTATTGCAGGTTCTACCACATCTGTGAAAAGGCGTGGTCCCACAACGAACAAGGCATTGGAGAACATACGGATGCGCAATAAAAAGCAACCCATACAAGTTACATTTAAGGATGGACAATTGCAGCCGACATGTGTGAATGGAAAGCTCTGGATAGCAGAAGTTGGAATGCAGGCAAAACGTATTCCTCCCATATATCCGAGATATGATAAGATACCCCTTGAAGAGAAGGAGATCGTTATTGGAAGAATTAAGGTGATACTCATATATATATATATATGTATATATATACAGGATTCTTTTTAAGTTAATAGATTAATTTTTCCCTTCGCTTCAATTAACTAGATAATTATTTCATTTCTTTAGGAAAAATTTATATGTAATGATGAAGAATATCATACAAAAGCAATTGCCAATCAATTGACCGTGCGTTTAAGGGCTCGTCGGCACGAAATGAAAAAACACTATGTTAACTTCAATAATGACGCGATTGCTCGGCGTAACCCATTCGAAGAAGTCTCAATCGAGAATTTGAATGTTTTGTGCGACAGATTTAGCTCCCAAAAGTTTGTGGTAATGAAACGAACTTTTAAAGATACTATATGTATGAAATTGAATTTAAATTGTGTATATATATATATATACACAATTTAAATTCAATTTCATACATATAGTATCTTTATATATATATATACAATTTAAATTCAATTTCATACATATAGTATCTTTAAAAGTTCGTTTCATTACCACAAACATATATATTGATATGCATTAATTACTTATTATTAAATATCATGGAGAATCGCAGTAAGACGAACAAGGAAAATAGGAAAAAGTTGAGGACTAAAAATTATGGTGGGTCGAAAGCATATGTTGAGTACTTGGCTGAGATGGTAATGAGAAAAGTCATTTTATATTTTGTTAATTTTTATATAATGTTATATTGATTAGTGTTTTAATGTTATGTATTGATTATATTATATTTGTTTAAAAATGGCTAGTTAGCATTATTGATAAGACATTCTATAATTTCCTCCGCAATTTGTTTTATGTTAGATTCCTTGTCTATTTGGATCTTTTTTCACAGGAAAATAATGAAATTGGAGAAAATGAAAGTTTCATTGAATTTTATGCAACTTCACATATCAAGAACAATGAGACTGATGAGGAGGCTTTGAAAAAATACGTAAGAATGTATCTGTAGTAAAGTTTCTAATTATTTAATTTAATCATGGAAGTGTACATTTTAATTAATATTTTTTTCCTTTTTGAGCATGCATGTAGGCTGAAATGGTGAAAATGAAAGATTCTGCTATTGCAAATGGAGAAATTATAAGCCGTGAGATAGAGGAAGAAATAGTGTTTAAAGTATTAGGGCAGTCATCAAATTTTTTTCTTGGGCCTGGCGATAAATATAGGCCTACTTCATCAACTAATCATGCAACTCAAAAAGATTTGGATGAAACTCGTGCTAGGGCGAAAGAAGCGGAGAAGACTATGCAAGAGATGAGGCAAGAGATAAATGAGTTGAAAGGAAACATCCAACAAGATATTCAAGATCAAGTTAGGGATAAAGTCAAGGATCAAGTTAGCGAGTTCATGCTTGCATTTTTTGCACAAACTGGGCGTGTTCTCCCTCCACCTCAGACTTGATTTAATTGGACTTACAAGTAAAATGTTTGTAAATAAATAAAATATTTTAGGACATGCAGCTTATTTTATTGCAATCGATCTTTTGTTTTCTAATAATTTGTGAACCTTTTGATTTTTGGGAACTTTTGATTTTTGGGATGTAAATAAGTAAAATATCTTAGGACCGATGCTCTTAATGTTCTCTATGAGAAGGTAAACTCACATTGCCTACACTTAAAATTTAGTTTAATATAATTATGTTTAATGCGCGCATTTGCTTATTTTCTTTCTTTATTATTATTTTTTTTCTATTTACTGGGTGGAGCAAGGAAAGGCTTTTAAGCAATGCCGAATTAGTTTTGTTTGTGTTGAGTAGTGGGATCATTGGAATTGATGGTGCTAAAATTTCAAAAGAGCCAAGATAGAAATCTGATGATTCAATCTCTTAACCTATTGGGCTGTGTGTGAGTTTTTTAAATGTATCCTTTTGTATTATTTATATTTTACTTTATAATCTATAAACGTTTATTTTAAAATTTTAAATTGAAATATTCCTTCTCTCTCTCTCTATTTAACTTTGTGAGGGTATGTTTTAAGAAATGAGAAGTGGCTGAAATTATTTTTTGTGTTTGTTGTTTTTGTTTTCCTAGTGAATTACTATTTATTCTTCTTACAGGTAGACGAAAGTGAATTTCTACTTCTACATTTGTTATTCTCTGATAAAAAGGTACTACATACCTTGGTTTTCTTATGATGTGAAGTCATAAAATTTGTGAAGAAGCATAGAAGGATTACCAAGTGTGTGTTACATTGGGAAATCATTCTGAAGGAGTTGCTTGCAGTTGATATCGATAACAATGGCTTTATCATGTAAGAATTAATAGGTTTTTCATTACTCTTTTACTATTTAATATATGATTCACAAATTTCATTCATTCTTTAGAAACTATAAAATAACACTATACTGTAATTAGAAAATAAATGGCCATCCAATTGATTTAAGTAGTATTATTAATTGATTTATTTAGATTGTATCCTCAAATTAATCTTGTTGTGTTCATAAACTATAGTAATGAGCTTGTATTTGATGAATATTCTATTCTAATGAACATTAACACATTAAAATAAAAGGGTGGGATTGAGAGTACACTCTATCCCAACTTATTATTATTATTATTTTTGCATGCACTCTTGGCCTTACATATGGTTTGTGGAATGCCTTATTTGGTTTGTAATGTGATGACTAATACTCACTTTGAGAAGAGACATTGGCATTGTTTACATATTTTTAATAGGTTTAGTTTTGTTTACTTATTTTTATTACATATGCTTATTTTCTTTTTTCTTTTTTTTTCTAGGGTGGAAAAAGGGAATGCTTTGATGCCTAATGTCTCAAGAAAGGTTTTGCTTTGTAAAGGTGCTAGCACAGTCCTAATGGGGTTGGTTTCACAACTTGTTCATAATGGTGGTCATTATGTTACTGGCAAGATCGAAGACTAGTATTAAGGCATGGGAGTTTGATTTATTTTTGTTGTTTTGAATTGTATTGCACAATTGGGGAGTTACTTTCATTTTGTAATGAACTCGAATATCATAATGTAATTTTGTGATGAAATTTGATATTTTATTCAAATGTGTCAATTTTTGGTGTTGAAATGAGTGAAATTTAGTTTACAACTTTAATTGAATGGTAACAGATAGATTTGATTATTAGAGGATCACAAAAAGGCTTTGCGATGAAAGTCGGTTGTCGCCATTAGTATCAATGACCAAAACAAATTGTTGAAAATAGTATTTAGCTATCAAAATTGATCGTTACTAACTCGCATATTGCGACGAATAGCTTCATCACTAAAGCTTTTGCATTAGCGACAAATACAAATTGTTGCAACTACTATTACCAACAAAAAAAAAATGTTGAAGCTAGTATTTAATGACAAAAAATTGATCGTCACTAATTAGATATTTCGACGAATAGATTTGTTGCTAAAGATTCGGTATTAGTGACGAAATAAATTCATCACTAAAGCTTATGCATTAGTGACGAAAAAATTTCGACTCTAAAAGTGCATGATTCGGTGACAAAGATACTATTTGTCACTATAGGTTAATAGTGACGGCTGCATAGGGACGACCTAGGACGAAATAAGTTTCGTCCCTAAAAGATTTTTAGGGGTGATATCTAGATCTTTAGCAACAAATTGTTTCATCACTAAAGGCATTCTTTGTTGTAGTGTGATTTCATGCAAGTTACGACTATGTGAATTAAACTTTCATAAAAGAAAAATATTAAATAAAAGTTGCAATTCTTATTCAAATCCTCCCAATTTAATTTATGTCAACAAGCATACCAAGGCCTAAATTACTAACATGCCACAATTTAATTCCAAGTTGCATACTATCATGAGAATTAAATCTTACACAAAGAAAACAATTAAATTAAATTATAAATTATGAACAAAAGCATGCATACAAGTTGTATAAGCATCAATAGCATGCAAGAGAATAAAAATATGAACCTATAACATCTCCTACCTCTATTTGAGATGAAATCTCAAATCCCCACCGAAAGAAAAGTGCTTCAAATCCGACAATATTCCTAGGTTATGTCGGGGACAACAAGGTGATCATTAAACATTAAGGAGGTACCATGAAAATCCAAACTTGGCTTCAAACCCGAACTCGAACGATGGCCAAAAACGGATTCTAATAAGGGGGAAAGGTGCACCTCGCCAAGGCCTTCGATAAACACTAAGGCACTACAACTTTTTACTAAAGGAAAGTGGCCGGAAAAGAAGAGAGAAGGGTGGAAGCCCCTTAGCTGCCATTGTTGCCGGCCAAGAGAGGGAGGAGGATGATGAAAAAGTGATTTTTCACTTTAAGACATTCTATTTATAGGAAAACCCTAAAAGTGCCCCGAAAGGGCCCCTTCGGGTCCGGAAAAGTGGAATTTGAGCAAATGCGCTCAAACAGTGAAACACCGTGAACGAAAAAGAACCAAAATAGGATAAAATGAACAATGGAAGAAACGACATTTAAACTAAGTCCCGAGCAGAAAGATATGCCCCGAACAAGTTCGGTGGCAACTGGGTCAGAAACCCCAAAACTGAGGTAAACAACCAGAAGACAATTTTAAGAGTACACGACTCGACGAAAAGTGAAAATGAATCCTGTACAATGATCCAGGCTCAAACTAAGACATTTTGCAATAACTTTTATTAATTGCACAATGGCCCCTACAAAAAGTGATAATTGCAAAACTGACCCAGAATGAAAATATCTTCCAAAAGATATTTTCTTAAAAACTACTAAAATAAAATATCTTCAAAAGATATTTACGAAAAACACCCCAAGAGAAAAATATTTCTGAAGATTTTTGTATTTATGCCCCTATGGACACCGGAAGCAACTAGAGTACTTTTCTACAAAAGTAAAGATACATATTTCGTGGAAACCACTTAGAATGAAGGTACGTGAAGTCGGAAATCAACTCTGAGCACGAAAAGTGAGGTTATGTAGAGTAAAATGATTATTTTACCCTTTTTTCTCTCACTGCTAGGGTGACACTATGCGATTAGGGTTTGTAGTCAAGGGACCGAGCTATCATAGAGGAGGGCCAGTCCTCCTCCCCCACACCGCCGGTAAGTTCTCTAGGCTAGAATCCGTCCCCTACTAAACCTACTTACAGTAGTTTTTTTTTATGAAACTCATGCAACGTTTAAGAATTTAACCTATCACAAATAATGCAGAGGGCTTAAAGTCTCTATTACTAAAGCGGATGTTGTTGAAGAAGTCGCTTTTTGGAAATCTTCTGTTGTTGGCTACGTGATGGGTAAGAAACCGTATTACCCATACTTCAAATCCTTTGTGGCCAAATATTGGACGAAAGACTTCACGTTGGTGTATTTAAAAGATGGATTTTTCCTGGTTCGATTCAAGAATGATTCTGATGTCCCTAAGGTACTGTCGAGGATCCATAAGTTTGAGGGACGACTTATTATCATGAAAAGGTGGAACAAAAATGTAAACTTACAAAAAGAAATTCTAGAAACAGTCCCAGTGTGGTTACGCATCTATGACATGCCGATGCACTGCTGGAACGAAGATTCAGTCTCAAAGGTTTGCTTATTCTTTACAAAACCAATTTACATGGATGATCCTAAAATACAGAGAGATAAAGGTCAGTTTGTAAGGGTAATGGTGGAAGTAGAAGTCAAAAATGATCTTCCAGACTCCATGGTTATAGATATTCATGGCATTGATTGTCACGTTGAACTTAAGTATGAATGGAAACCTATAGAGTGTAAATTGTGTCAACGAGTTGATCACAATGAAGAGAGATGTCCCCTTAAGGTTACATATCACAAGGCCAAACCAAAGAAAATAGTGGATCGATAGGTTATTAAGCAAAAAAAGAAGATGATTGAAGACAAAGATGCTGACCAAGTAATTGATGATATGCGTGTGGAAAGGGTTCAAAAAGAAGTCATAGTGCCTACTTTAAATACTTTTGCTCTTTTGGAGGATAATGAGGATGCTAATGTTGTGGTGACTCCAATGGAGGTGGTGGACAAGGAATAGATGATAGCAGCTGAGGTTGTTGCTCTTTTGGAGGAGGTTGAGAATTCTAATGATGTGGTGTCTCCAATGGAGGAGGTGGAAAAAGGAAAGACTCTAGTTTTCAAAGAGGCTACATATTTGGAGGATAATGAAGACACTAATGGTGTGGAGACCTTAGTAGAAGTGGTGGATGTGGAAAATCCTAAGGCTGTTCTACATATTATAGGGCAAGTTAATACTACAGCTGATATTGGGGTTGATGATGTGATAGAGACAGTTGTGATAGAAGATTTATCTTTGGATAAGGATAAGCAAGTTCAGGAGACTTCAAAATCTCAAATGGGTAAAAACTCTGGTCCAAACCAAGAGACTCCAAGAGTGGGAAAACAATCCAAACAAAGAAATTAACCTTATGTGCCTCCATCAGATACAATAATAAGGGGAATGCAAGCAAGCAGTGGTTCACTGCCATTGTCTCAATAATGTTAAGAGTATGGAATGTGAGAGGTCTTAATAGACCTCCCATACAAAAGGAAGTAAAACAGTGGATACTTGAGAATAAGTTTGCTTTTACTGTCCTTGTAAAAACTAGAGTGAAAGAAGGTAAGGCCCTTAATGGAGCTGGTTGGCTAACTATAAGTCTCATTATTTGGATAAAATCTGGATTGGTTGGAATAGAGCTTTATTTGATGTGGAATTAATTCATGAAGATGCTTAAGCT